ATGTTAAATTTAGGATGCACTAGTCTAGTTGTTTCAGTTTATATACACATATCAAGGCTGCACAAACATTTTCCACAAAATGAAAATCTGTATGAGGGCTGCGGCCAAATGCAATAATATAATTCATGAAATACAAATACTTCTTAAGTACAGTTTGTTTATTTTAATGGTTATGTCCTGCTGGACTGTGACATGATTTGTTTGAGTACAAGTATCAGAATTTTACACATTTATACTTCTCATTCAACCACAATTAAATTCACTCTATCTAGGAGGCACAATTTAGTATAATTTTTTTACAATAACAAGCTGGAATGAAAACAAGCAAAATGAAATAAAAGTTACGACTTTCTACTTTTTACCTTTTTTAAAAAGTAATGAGTAGAAAGTTTGGATAATTGTGTGAAAATGTGAGAAGTAGAAGTAAAAAGTAGGCTGAAAAATAATTACTCAAGTACAGATACCCAAAAATTCTACTTAAGTACAGTAAAGTCCTTCATTATAATGGTTGAATATTTACTGCAGAGGTTGGACCAGAGCAGAACAGCAAGGTGTAAATTGAGGATTAAGTTCTAACTCCCTCGGGGCCCGACAAGGTCGAGACTTAGCTACTCTGGGTTGAGCCCCATATGGGCACGGGCCGGGGGCATGCTGCCCTCCCAGGCCCCACTGAAGCTCCACCCCTGGGAAGGGTGACCCACGTCTCCTCCCGGCTCCATGGGCGAAAGCCCACCAGGCTCTCCTCAACGTGCCCCACCTCCAGGCCTTGCTCCAGAGTGGGACCCCGGTGACCAGCATCCAGGCGAGGGAGCACTGAATCCATTTATGGTACTCATCATAGGGGTCTTTGGGCTTCACGTTGTCTGATCCCTCACCTAGGACCTGTTTGTCTTGGGTGACCCTACTGGGGGCTTCATGGCTCTGACAACATAGCTCCTAGGATTACTGGGACCCTCAAACCTCTCCACCAAGATCAGGTGGAAGCCCAGTGATAAATTCTTGTTTTAATAATTAAAAATTCCATCTGTCTACTGCGATTTTTAAATTCCTGTTTCTCACTTTGTGCATCAGGTGACTTCTTTTAAAACAGAAAGTTTTAATTAAAGCCAAAGAGTTTATGGAGGTGATAATGTAAGATGTCAGTGCGTCTTTGCACTGAGTCATCAAAAACAGGTTTTCACTGTAGCATATTAGTGTTTATTGTATTTATTGTTGAAATTCAGATTAAGTAAATCCTACTGGAAAAAAGGTCAATCAGTTTGTTTGAACTCAGATTTTGCTAAAATAACACTGTTAAACTTTCAGAACTTGCCAAAAAGGTAAGTTTGATTTGAATATCAAAACAAGTTCCTCATTCAAAGAATTCAAGTGCGTGCCTCACTACTGAACAGGATGTGCTGTGTTGCAATTGTGTTGAATTTTACTAAAGCAACAAACAGGATTTTCAAAACACTGCAGGGTGTACTGATTTGTGTAAAAGCAGAATGTCCTCACTAAAATAAAAAGGAGGTGTGGGGGGAAGTGTTTTTAATGATGTTCAACTACTACCACATTAAATTTGAGCAAAATCTCGTTAAAACTAAATTATTTAAAACCACGTGACCCAAATATCAAACTTATGATTTAGTTAAATTTGGTCAAAATGACCTCAGCATTTTATTACATATCAGCTTTTAGACTTCTGCCTTTTGACACCTGGATGATTCCAGAGATGTGCATTGAATG